ATGCATACAGATGCAGATATGAATGTGTTATAAAAAACAGAGAATGGCGCTTTTCAATGCAAGTTCACAGAAGAAAAACACAAAATCAGTTCAATACCACCACGTACCCCTCAGCAAAATGTAATTGACATCAGTAGGTAAAGGGTACGATTTTACACTATTTCACATGTATTTCGATTTACAAACATTAACTGACTTTCTACACTTCCCACTTGGGTTGTCCTTTTGTGTTTGGTAATTTGCCCCGCGTTCACCATGTTTTCATCTGTTCGATCTCTCTGGCCTTTGCAAACTCCGCTTGTCACATGAGCAGGGGAGGTAAAACATGAAAAGGTGAGTTTAATCAAGACCATGGTTGTTAGTGCAACGAGGTCGATCGAAAATGTGCCCTTGAATATCACCTCTGGCCTTCCGTACCTCCTCAGTCCTGTATATGAGTTAGCTTGGGTTAACACTCGGTACAAATAACTATATACGGCCTCCTTCAGTCAATATTGACCATGATGGTAAAAACCTAATTGATATCAGCCCTACAGTCTCGTATTTACGACTGCCTTGGTTTAGATGGTGGGAAGAATCTATCTTGTATTCACTTCGTCACGACGTATTCCAAGATCAGTAAAGTACGTGCGTCAAACCAATTAACGGATCTACTTGAGTTCCAATTTGTTACAGGTTTTCAATAGAACCCGAAATGTGGGTCAGGCAGTTTAACGTGGTTAAATGTAGTTCCTTAGTACTCATTAATGCATTACAATAGGACTCTGAATGTGCGTAGTTCTAATCAGTGTCGTTTTAGGCAGTACTTTAAACCCACACATTCACGAATTTAGCCTCCCGTCACTAGCTGAACGCCCTCAAACGATGGTTAGGAGTATGTAGGTGAAAAGTCGACTGGAACTTGTAGCTCGCAAATCCGGCTACTTTTATACGGCTGTGCTATCTGAACGTTTCAAAATCTTTCAACCATTTGAGGTTCGGCTGAAGTATGTAAAATGATATTTACCTTGAATGGATATAGTTTTGCTTGTAGTTAACTAAGACTCCATGGACTACATGTATATATAAGGAGCGTAAATTTCCATACCGTCATTCTTGAAAATATTTATATGAACTGCTGATGATTGATCGATCTTCTAATTTTCATTATGAATATATCCAATATTTATGTTTTGTCGTAATAAGTAATATATTGTGAGTCTCGTATATTCCATCATTTTAGTCTATTTGACTTACACACTATAACATAGGCCATCACTCTTTTTGCTCAAGTCCCGTCTACCTGTACATTTAGTGTTTTCTTAACATCCGGTATTCCCCTATCTAGGTTCTTCTCAAGTCACTCCGGTCCATCTCTTCGATCGTTAAGTCCTGCCATTGACAAGACACAGCCGTTAATCCTTTTAATCTTCTAATCCTCCCCGTACGTCTTATTAAATCCCGCACGTCGTCTTCAGAGTCGGCGGATCAGGACGGACGGACCGTGTTTCATCACCCTGCAAATCTCGCGAGAGATCGCGTGATGACAGATGTGGTTCAGACGAGAAGACGGACCACAGGAAATCCCCACGGATTAGTGCGTAATTCCGGGGATCGTAAATCAAGGCTAAGAATTGGAGATTATGTCGGTGGATTGAAAATGGATTGATGGATTCACGTTTTGGAAAGTAAAGATGAATTATGTATGACCAAAAATCGATCATCATTGTCATATTTTGGTTAGAATTACGAGTACTAAATTCTTAGTTCATTCTAAGACAGCCTAGACTAGGCACATAGCCATTTCTTAGTATTTTTTCGTTTGATTTTCACACCTGAAGTTTTTGAAATAGCCCAAATATAAGCTACGTAAGGAGTCCCTTTTGGGTACCGACAATAAATAGCTAGAACCAGCCTACGATACAGCACAAGCAACAGTTTCCTATCTGCGACATCACATTTTTGCCCCACAGATATCAGTATGCTATGGGATAGGATTGATTCAACTTGCTATATTAAGAGTATGACAAGAAAATTGAGTTTGAAAATCCTTTTTTGCCGCCCTGAAACCGCACCGGATGCCTTTAATCAAATATTCCGTATCAAGAACATGATCTCTTTAGACTCCAGTCACGACGGCATATGACGTTTCTGAAGAGGGAAATGGAATACATCAGACAGATGCACCAGGCGCCACGAGAGGACCAGACGTCACGGCCACCTGAAACGTCTTCAAAAACTGTCTTGGAGAGGCCGCCTTGTGACGTCATACATCCTTTCAACAGCACTATCTTGCAGACAAGACGCCAAGTCCGGATCCAGACACCCACGTTTTACTTGAAGTGTGGAAAAATGGCGGGTTATCTGCTCTTTTTGAGTGTCTTCACGCTTAGTTACCTAAAGACAGACGGTCTGGCGAGGAAGATAAGGCATTGTATATTAATAAAGAAAATAAAGATTAAAGACTAAATATTGCAACAGTACAGCAGCCAGAATGTAAGTAAAGTAACATATATCCGCAGGTTGGACATACCTATAGGCAAATTTAATCTGAACTACGCTTGAAATATGATTTCATATATCCATTATTCTCAAATATAGATTTTTACACCATTTTACGAAAACGTGATTATTTGTTTTCGTCGTTAAAATCTAGGAACGAACGGTCTTCAGTATTCAAAAAGTTTTTTTTTTTCAATTATTACTGTTTCAGACATTTTCCTTTAATCTTTTCGTGTTCATTTAATTAGCACTTGCCTGACAAATTATTCTTTAAGCTGCCGTGGGCGATATTAATATGAAACTTAACGATGATAGATTGGATTAAGCAACCGTCTGGCTATTATTATTTTCAACAAATTGTACATGTTGCGCGCAAATGAGACTCAACGGAGTAATGAAAAAAAAACTTTTCACTTTCGAAAGCTTATAATCGTCAACTTATCGTTGCATAGGTCCAGATAACGGTCTGGTACGTCGTGGTACGTCGCTTGTTGTGGGCATTCTTAGCTTGGGATAGTCGTACATATTTTGTACAGCTGTCTTGTTGATGTCTCAGATCCTTGCCGGCTGTTGGTTTTGTCACAGTCTATTTGAAACTTCTTGCGTTATCAAAATCGTACGACTTATAAGTGAGCGCCTTAACTAGACTTCGTAGACACAGTTGTTGTTTTTTTCAGAGAAGGATCACCATATGAGTTATTTTTGCATGCTGCTTGGAGGTTGCAGAAAATATGTATCCATATTACAAATAACATTCCATATCTTTTCCTTTTTTTCTTTTGTCTAATACCCAAATGCTGTACAGCCTGTAACTATCATGAATTATATATTCTTTGTGGCGTTTACCGCCATCAAAGAATGAATCAAATGGCGTTAAAGTTCGTTGAAGTGCCCTGGGATATTTATAGTTCTACAAATGTACCGTGACTTTGGGATTCAAGTTAAACTCGCACGCCTTCACTTTGTTTCTGTTCCTAGCTTTATCTTGCTTCCACAGCTTGAAAAGCCCTTTGAAAATGAGCTGCAGAAACGAAATGAAAAACAAGAAGCGGGTCTTTGTTGAAGCCGAAGCTATTACAGATTGGCGCAAAGGCCGGAGTAACTGCCTATAATTTTAACAAAGGAGGGAAATTTTCAACGGAGACTCAGCAAAATAATGAGTTTTAAATTCCCTACTCTGGATCTATTTCCAGCGAGCCTATCAAAGAAGTTCCGGTGAAATGTTAAAACATCCCCTTGTTGCTTCTAGTTTCTTTCGGTGCAAATGTATAGCCGGTGTTTTCAGCTTTGAAGGCAATGGTTTTTATGTACTCTGCGTACTTCCACTTCAGGTTCAAAGGACTGGTGTTGCTCTATAATGCAGGCTTCCAGAAATATGTTCACTGGTGTAGGAGGCGTTTTTCGACCCTTTAGTATAAGACGACTTTCACAAAACGATAAATACACACGCCACATTAATGTTACACCAGAAGTCATTTCTTGAAGCTTACAAATGGCGACTTTTATACCCTTTCCTTGCGCGGCTATCCACACCGCTGCGCCGCAATATATCATCGGCCCATCCGGGAGTTGAAACCTTCGCCCGGGCGGACAGAATTCAAACAGAGTGACGGTTGGTAATCGATTGCCTCACGGGACTAGTCGACCTAGATTTATTTCAATATAACATCATAGTGGCGTAGCCAAGCGACCGAGAAACACTACTTAATTGAAAACGTAGTCGAACATACGCTAAGTTAGCGATCCAGTCACCCTTTAGGCCACTTCGTACGTCTAAAATAAATCATATAGAATGCTCTTTATACAAATATCTAATAATATACAATTATATATATCTATCAGTTTTGTGTACGTACATTCTCAAATAATTACAATACGATGAAAACATTCGTGACAAGTTTCTATTTGATAGTCCGTAACGTCATTTGATATACTGTAATATTATATCTCTGTGTCTTTGTGTCCGCAGACGTTCGTAATTTTCTATTTTTAGCAATATTCGCCAACAACACGTAGAATATTCAAGTATTTTCACTTGGGACCAATACAACCTTCCAAAGGGTACTACTATATACACGTATGAACTTTTCACAATATGCATTTTCTATGTATATCCTATTATTTTTTCATTATTTTGTATTAAATTATTTCCGGTTCATTCTGCAGCTATTTTGTCTTTGTCGACAATTTTGGATTATACAAATGGCGTTTAATCTGCAAACCTCTTCCAGGCTCCAGGAAGCGGCCCATTTCAAGTCTTTCCAGCCGCTTCCCAGAGCCTGGTAGAGGCTACTCATTTGCAACAAACTAAAGACTTCCTCTAGGTACATTTTTTAAGAATAACGGTTACAGAATTTTTATCTGCTTTCTTTTAATGTTTTTGTTTTAATCATATCATTTGTCAGGATATAGATAGATTACAAGGCATTATTAAGTATATAATTGACTAAGGAAAAAAAATCAGTGGGTATGTTGGAATTAGACACCATTGTAACTATATGCCCGAAATATTAGTACGTGACAACAATTGTATAAGACAAACAAAAAGTAAGCAATGCCCACAGTTATAAATCAATAATTAAGATACTAAGAACCAGTTAAACGTCCTGGGATAATAATCACAATCTAACCTAATCTGACAATAATTTCAAATCTATTATTATTTCTAATAACCTTTACGCCTAATAAAGATAAAAATGACAGACTTTTAATGAGGTTTCAAACGTAATCAGATTACTTCCTTTGAGGTCTGTCTTTAACGAGAATTTCTTAATCTTCTTAGATCTTTGGGGACAGAAACTTCTTTAATCAAAATTTTCTTTTTAATTAAACTCGGCATGTACTGACGAGGGAATAGGTTAATTAACTTTTGCCGAAAGATATCAATTAATCTCGGTACTGTCTTGTCTGTAATATCAACAGACTGTCCCTTGATGACAATGGCGTATTGATAGTATCTTGTGTTATATATGAGAGTCAACGCTTACCAAGCTTGTATTGCCACAAGACACTAGTGATATTCCAGTACTAATATATCATAGGTCTACATTTCTCTGTTACATCTGTACAACAATTACAATATACAAAATACGACAGCAGCATTAAGCATGTCCGAATATTGTTAGACATAGAGTTCCGTGGTTGAAGAGTTTGTGTGTTTTGTTGTTACCGTCGAGAGAATCGCTTTCTTCTGCCTAGTCCTGGCGGAGAAACGTCGTGCAGTTTGGGCAGGCGGCTGGTGACGCTGTACGTGTCCACCCACTCCCCGGGCGCCTCTTCGGTCCCCCCGCAGTCCGGACACACCAGCTTCAGGCCCAGGTCGATCCGGATCCGGGCTCGCAGGGCGTCCCGCGCCGGCATCCGCTCCAGACAGCCGGCACAGAACAGGTGGATGATGTTCCAACAGGCGGGCGGCTTTGAGGAGTGGAGCAGCGCCGCGCACTCCGCGCACACCTGCCGGTCGTACAGCTGGTGTAGACTAGCCGGGCTACACACGGCAGGGTGCCCGGGAGAGTTCCCCGAACCTTCCGAGTCCGAGCTGCTGTCACTCCCCGACATCTTCCGTAGATAATTTCTCTTCCCAATCCTCAGCGTATATCTCTCTCTCCTGATAAATATGATGGGCTGGGTCCTTCCCTTTCAGGAATCAGAGCCCTGTGGTCTCAACACACACGCGAGAAATCCCCCGGGCCCGAGTGGCGCCGCTCTGCTCTCACCACTGTCTCCTCTCCTGACGGAGTAATATGGCGTCCTGGGGTCGCCGACAGTTCACCTCACCGGTCCTGTCCCTGGTGCTGAAAGTGTTGAGGTGGTGCGAGGGAGACCGGAGTGTGCTGACGACACTTTTACGCGCCAGAGATACCTATGGGAGGTTTCGTTATGTCACTGCTCGGGGTGATATGTCTACAGAAAATAGATTAATCTGACAGGCTGGCACGTTCATCTTCTTTGAATACTTTGGCGGTATACATCTTCCAAACTCAGAGAGACAGACACAGAGACGCATAGAGAGACACGCACACACACAGACACAGAGAGAGAGACAGAGACAGAGAGACAGATACAGAGAGACAGAGTGAGAGACAGAGAGTGAGAGACAGAGAGAGAGACAGAGGTGGAGAGAGACAGAGAGAGAAAGACAGAAACTACTGCGAGAGGACTTTCCACTTTAAGAACAAGCGCTGTTCAAATCGGTACGTTTCAGCAAAATATGTCAGTCTTCCCCAATAACAGTCTTTTGCTGGCGATTTTCTTGTCATATGCAAAACGATCGTCCAAAGTATAGGTGCTACAATGTGCCGCCCAGTGCGCTCACGCAATGCAATTAACAGTAAGTGAGACCATATCACCAAATGACGTGGCTTAGTCTGGCGGCGAGAGTTCATATCCCATTTCACAGTGTCACTGCAACAAGCTACGCAACACGTGATGAGGCGGCCTGGAGAGCCCATTCACAGCTTCAAACTGTTACATATTTTCATCTTATTGCTATTTTAGAGTCATGGGTAAACCATGATTACCACAAGACTAATTTTCCTTGTTCTTGAAAACCTACTTTCTGTCAAATACTTCCAATGCGATTTCAAGGTGGCAAGGGAAAAATATTCTGATCAGATATTATATATGATCAGTACCTTATGGGATAATATTGATTAAATTCACTACATTCAAAAGATAAGAAAATTTTGTTTTAAAATCCAGTTGTACTGCCCTGAAACCGCTTTGCTTTAGCATACACGCGGCAGTGACGATGTAAAAGACGAAGTATTTGTCATGATACATCATAACTCTCTAGCGGTAGACTCAGATCTCTAGATAGCCCGTTTACGTATTTCCCCATGTCCTTTGTACATCGCTCTAGGCCGAACATCTTTCACGTACAGCGCATCCGCCAGATCTTGACACCGCTTCCCCTTTGAAGTTAGGTTTCAATGTACAAACGATCGATGTGCACACTCAGGTTATACCCTCTTTTACATTTACCTTTCACAAAGACTACAAAAAGAATCCGGCTTTGAGTAACAGTGCAGAAAAGGATTGTAACGTCCCTACAGATAAAGTACATGTCGTGAGCGTTCACATGACCTAGTTGCCATCCCTTCTTTACAAAAGCCGTTCGGAGGGGATTAGGCGTTAATAATCCGCCTTGATCCCTTTTTACAGCCTACAATACGTCATCTAGTCAGAGTAATACGTGCCAAAGAAAGAGCAGTGCGTTAGTTAGCCCCACGGTTCACGGCAAGATTTACAAAGGTCAATCTGCATAAAACATTGGCAGGGAGGGTGCTATTCTTTTCGGGTGACACGTGAACGACTTGTAATGATAAATGTTCGCTGCGTCTTTCTTGAATTCCCCAGGGGATATCTGACAATCCGCACACGCACTTTGTAGCTGTGCCATTAACGTACCTGTACGCATGGTAGACATACAAATCCTGTCTTTTAGAACATGTTACAGGCCCATATTCTAAGATTTTAGCGATAAAGCTAGATGGATAGTTCTTAAGAACAAGGATTACCCAAATTTTTCAATCTACATCTCAGGTAACAACTTTTAAACGTCAATGTTTATTATGATATCATATTTCACATATTACAATACCTCCACACTTGGCCTTAGATGGGGGTAGCCTATTGAGACTGAGACATCCTGGGTCAAAACACGATTACCACATTATATTATGCTCCGCTTCTTCGGACCAAAATAACCAATTCGTAAATTACCATATTTCAGCATATTAACACAGCAAAACCACGTCACATTTGTACTTTGTGAGTATCACTTGGAAAACAGGAGGGTGGCTGCATATTAAAAGAGTAAATGTCCCTAGAAATATAGCAACATGGCATTACGTAGATTGCTACTATGCGAATGTTTGCCAGTTTTGTGTAACGAATCACACTGTAGCTGTATTGTGACATATTTCAAACTCCCAAATCACACCTATCACAGGCGATTTGCCCGCGGTTTGCCCCTGTTTTGTAATTAAAAAGGACGACTGCGGGGAGACGTAATAACGTAATTACTGTGAGTGGTCATTAAAGTAAAGCCTTCAGCCCATCTGTCTTATACTAATCATTAGAACGTCGTTTTACCTCGAAGGCATTATTCAGGATACGGGAAAGTATTTCTAAGAAAACTATCAACTTGTAACAAGATTGGTGGATCTTTATGTTGAGTGGTTGTTTGGACATAGGGCAAAAAGATTGACAACTGTAGGCGAGATCATAAAATGATAGGATATTAAAAAGGTTATCTCAGTATACGTACACGTATGGTGGATTTCAGTTGGCCACTGCATTGTTAAACACACACATACATGCATACACAACGTTGCAAATGACATTGTAGTTATCTCACAGTTGCTAGAAGAGTCATGTAAAATATAATAGAGATATTCCTTATCAGTTAATTATCTTGACCCCCACAAATGCCTGATGTCTGCGGTATAATTAACCAGGCGACAGATAGAATGATATAACAGAGTCATTACCTTATACCTAGATAGACCGATTACGTTCTGGTGTATAATTATATTAGGAATGTTGCATTGTAATTAATTGAATAGAAATTGAATTTATGTGCTGTTTCCGGATTATATTTTGATTCCATTGTTTTTATTCCAACTTGTCCGTTTATCAATATTAAGAATTGATACAAATATATTGTTGTTTAGTATACGTCATTGAAAAGAAGCAGGAGTACAAATTACAGAGACATCTTACTACAACTATAGAGACTAATGTGAACTACTTTGGACAGGTTCAACTTCTTCTCACTTCTTCAATCAGTTGTAGATGTATTAACATATAGATTATGATAGAGGGTTTGCCTAGTTTCATAAGGATTGCGATTTTTTCTGTTCTTTCTAAATGTCGAAAACTGAAACTAGGAAACTTATTATAGAAGATATTTCACTCATTTCTATATAATTCAGTGTCAACACCAAAATGTTATTCATCCTCATTTTATCTAAATTACAAACTTGGCAAATTATTTGACGTAGAGGAGTTTGGTTTTGATATTCACCGAGGGATTCATCTGTTTCACCTTGCTAAATGTAGTTCCATTTACGATTATGCACGTAATGTGTGTGAAACTCATTTTCAACTACCTAAGTCGTTACAACCGTCTGTCTGTGAAAGATTACACAAATTACACACCGAGGTACAAACTGCTGGTGATTGTGATAAGCGCTGATGCAGACAGGACGTTAAAGGGAATATCGAGATTACTAACACATCATGTACGGACTGTTATCTCTCCACAGCCTGCCGCAGATGTGCCGGTGTGAGATTACCACAGAACGGCTGAGATGATGTAGATATTATGTGGAACAGGTGGGAGACATGGCGCTATAGGATCAACTACCAACAGAATCTCTTTATTGCCGCATTTGGCATAGACTAGAGAGTGATCATCAGTGTTGAGGATATACAGGATATCCAGGTAATACGATACGTAAAAAAGTTACGATATGTGGATGAATTCAGAAAGTGGTGTAATACCCGATTGAATTGCATCATGCAATTCACTCAACTGTTTCAATACATTTACAAGAACTTACAGATACGTCCAGTAAAGTCTGAAATCTTCTCTTTGTTTAGAAATTCAATAGTGTGAAACAAGATCAACTGTTGTTGACAGGACGTTAGCTATTCCTGGAATGGATGGTTTACTCCGGGTACAAAGTGTATGATAAATGTGACAAACTATAGCTTGCTTGTTTGCCAGAAGCTATTACAAATTTTCAACGTGTTACGGTGTCGCCAACGGAAACTGGCCTGATGATGAGTTTAACCAACCAGAGGACCGGCGTCTTCAACTCTGACCTTCCGTTGCGGATGACTTCAAAGGATTTGGTATAACCGTTGACGTTTCTCACCTTTAAGAAGTATCCAGCATGCTAAAATCGGAGCACAACTTATTTTTTGGGAAGTTTCACAAAGCTCCGCTGTGAAAGGTTAGTTTAGCATGGCACCTTGAGAAAGCAGCATCCATCATCTTACCAATTTCATATTGGATGGGTTTGAACAAAAAGTTGATTTGATAAGTAATTGCCTGTCTTGGATATTGAACTTTATCCTTTTCTCCCAAGAATAGATTGAAGTTGATATTTACTTCCGGCCACGGAAGTATTGTTTTTGGGTGGCAGAGCTGTGCGTTTCTTCTCTGTCTACTTATCTGGACAGTGTAGATTGACAGCACGTGGATGGGGAAAGATTCACCAGCAGAATGAAAGGAGGTCAAAAGGTCAGACACAGGAAACCAGGTTGCTGCGAAGGTCTCAGAATCTGCTTCAAATATATCAGTATGCTATATGGAATAGGCTGATTCGACTAACTACATCTTATAACATGACCAGAATTTGGGCTTTAAAAATCCTGTTTTGCTGCCCTGAAATCGCTTTGAATGCTTTTAAATCACCAGTAGAAGCTTTTGACAACTTTATCTGATTGTAATTGTGCTTAATGAAGCCAGACCTATACCGGAAAACCATGTCAAGAGCAGATATTAGCGCGACAGTGATGCTATGATAAGGGCAACAGCTGCTCTACATGTACCTGTCTACTGTTGCATAAAAATTGGTACTTAGAATCAGAGATTGCTGGAGAAAGATTCATACCAGAAGTCGTATCATTTGATCTCCAACTGGAAACGCTCAAGTTATAATTGCGCTTTTATGCTGTTTGTCAAGTGGCTAGGACTGTGTACGTGCAGGAATTTACTTATAAGCTACAATGGTATTCCTTGATTATTTGTTATGCGTATACAGTTATCAAACGGCGAATT